GGGCGGGCTTGGGGACCCAGCGGGTGGGGCGGTTTCTCCGTGCCGCCCACGCCGGATGCACAGCCGGCCCTCTCCACACCCACGTGTCCACGTGAGCGCCCCGCGGCGACATTCCTACACCCCCACCACCCTTACCCCTCCGAGCTGAGAACGGAGTTTCACAACCACGCGCAGGTACACAAAGACAGAAGCGCACGGCCATGCAAATGCGCTGAGACAGCTACACGAACGCCCGCGGCCCACACTCGGAGGGCCTCGTGGTGCAGTATGTGTGAATGTTAGGAGTGAGCCGGCTAAAGTTGGCGGAGGCTTGGGGTGCGCAGCTCTGCTAGTGCGTGCATCTGACTCCCATAGGGTGTATACTTATGACAGATCTGTGAGCGTGGGGCTTGCTCTGCAGGAATCCCTTAGATATCCCGGTGCCATTCCCTAGTCCCAAAAGGAGTAATCTGGGGAGGACGCTCTCGGAAACCCAGGCCTCCTCCATCCCTGCCTCCAGTCGTTCCCGAAGTTTGGGAAAACAAGGGCGGAAGGTCGCCACTTAGGTTCTTTTTGATTAGACGCGTCAGGGTTTGTTAGCGCGCAGGTCAGGCAGTAGGGGGCACCCTGCCTTCCTCTACTCGTCGCATCCTATTTGCTGAGAAGGTGGGGGAACTGCTTCTAGAGAATTGTGTGGGGCAAAGCTGGGATAGGGAGGATACCCCTTATGGGACATCTATTAAGGGAAGTCGCTAGAGAGTCTAGTTGAGGAGCTGCAGTAGGGGCGCGTCCGACTCGGTTCCCTATTAAGGCGCTAGAGGGAGGAGCGCCTTCAAGGAGTTAGGCCCTCCTTCCCCAACCCACCACCTCCTCCCCCTTTGTTTCTCCCAGCCCCATCTGGTTCCCATTTCGCTCCCGCCTACGGCTGGGAGGGCTGGAGGGGGGGGTGGCGGGGGTTCTGATGGCCCCGCCCAGCTGCTCAAGGCCCTGGTGAAAGGGGGAGAGGAAGCGGCGGAAAGAGACTGGACAGATCACAGGCACGGTTCCCCTTAGTCCGAAACCTCAGCCCCGCCCCGCCATTCCGCACTTCTGAGTGACCCAAGAGCCGGCAGAGAGTGGGTGGCGTGGGAGGGGGCTGGTTCTACATTCCGGCCCAGCAAAGGCACCTTTGCGTCTCCGGTGGGAGCAGGGGAAGCGGGCTGCCTTATTGGGGAGGACTTCGATCGCTAGGCTTGTCCGTTCCATCCCATTAAGCGCAAAACCCAGGGGCGGGGAAGGCAAGGAAGGAGCAAAGTTGCCCCTTCCAAATCACCATCCTACAACTGGACGGTGCGGCTAGACCGGCTCCTCCCAGGGGTGCCCCCCCATCCCCTCTGCTGTGTGCGGGGGCGGCCCCTCCCCCACTCCCCCCTCGGGTTATTTCTGAGCCTGGGCTGCCAGCCGCTGGCCACGGGTTTCCACGTGCCCCCTCCCTCTGCCTGCCCACGCTCCCCGTGACGCACATCCTCCGCCCACGCAGCCTCTGCTCCAGGCGCCCCCCTCCCTCCCACCCCGGCCCCCTTGGGGCGGTGCTGAGCCCCCGGATCCGGAGGGAGACGCTGGCCTGGGGAGGGGACTGGAGTAGGCCGTGAAGGCAGAAGGCGGGAAGCTAGTGGGCGTCGGGCGCCGGGGTCCCGCTCCAGAAAAGAGGACGAGGGAGGAGCCGCTTCTGGGGCCTTCACGTCTCGGTCCTGGGGCGGGTCCTCGGCCGGAGAAAGAGGAGGGGAGAAAAAGCCCGCGGACTGCGCGTGGGAGTGAAAGCGCCGAGTGTTTGCGTCTTTATTTATCAAGGTTGTTTTGAGGTTCAAATGAGAGAATACATAGGAAAACTATTCGTAAATTGTAAAGTACTAAGCAAACTTAAGACGCTGTTACCAGTCTGTGCCTCTGTACCCTGAGATTGTGTATTTATGTTTCTTCCCATTTAGTTGTATATATGTATCTTTTTCTTTAGGTTTGTATCTGAGAGTCCCTGTGTGTGAATTTAAAAATACATACATTTTTAAAATCATTGACTTGTCAGGCCCCGCCGGAGGCCCAGAGCGCCCCCGCAGCGGGATCTGCTGAGATGTCTGTTCTTTTCCCTCCCACTCCAACCACCCCAACTCCCCTCCTACTCCCTTCCGTTGAGAACAAGGAATTTCCAGCTTTAAGAAAAAGGAGAGACAGAAACAAAGGCCAAGACCGTGAAAAACCATTGAAAACCATACAGATAAGAGACACATGGGGGGAGGATGACAAAAGGGGAGTTGGGACAAACACAAATTCATTTCTTCTCTCTTTTCTCCCAGTGTCACTTTTTCTCACTCCGTACCAGTTCCTTCCCTGACTCACCTGCTTCTCTCCCCGCAGCTTTTCCTCGTGTTTCCAGAGGCCCACAGAGCAGAGCAACGAGTCCCATTTAATCAAGATTAATCCCTTTATCGTCCGCACTGGTTTTTTCCATGAAGCTTTTCTCCAAGTAAGACAAAGGGAAACGATATTCTCAGTCCCAGTTTTCCAAGAAAATAAGAAAAGGTTGGGAAGAAAGGAGGGGATGTGGGTGGAAGAAGAGTGAGGAAATTGAAATCCAGAAAGATTGTCTTTCCTTGCCACACGGAGATTTTCATCTAGCAGATTCCAATCCTCATTCCTGCCCCCACATTTTCACGAGGCTAATTCCATTTCCAGGTTTCTAGCTTGGCTTGAATGTCACCTTCCTGGACCCTCCCCTTCCTGGAACCCCTCACACAACTATGCAGAGTTCTTCCTACCTCGGTGGCCTCCTGGCTTTTTGTACACAATTCAATTACAGTTGATTGTTTCACCCCAGGACGTCAAGGGGCAGGCCTGGGATCTGGTGGGTCCTCTGAAATGAACAAATTGGTGATGGCATTTATGGGCCTGAGGAGCTTTGAAAAGGGCAGTTGGTCCAGATTTTACTCCAAAAGGGGCTGAACCTTGGCAAAACTAAATGGTGGTGGTGGTTGTTAGGTGCCGTGGGAGTCGGTTCCAACTCATAGCAACCCAATAGGAGTCAACATAGTAGAACTGCGCCATAGGGTTTCCAAGGAGCAGCTGGTGGATTTGAACTGCCCACCTCTTGGTTAGCAGCTGAGCACATCTCTGCACCCTTGAAGTTTCCAGTGAGTCCCACAAGTTTGGCTCCTTGGCCTTCTAAACTGTCCACTATTCTGGTAAATGAATTCACACTCAGGTGCAAAATGAGAAGGCTGAAACCCTTCCTGGTAATAGAAAAATGACCAATAAGTAATGATCCTCCTTTTTTCCTCTTTCAGTAACAGAATCTATAGTCTAAGGAGTGTTGTCTTTCAATTTGGTCATTTTACAAGAGATGCTTAATTCCTCAGAGACAAACAATCCTAACTTTTGCCTTTATGGAACACAAAGACTAGTGGGGGAAATAGACATATCAACAGATAATTATGTCATAATGTAATCATGGAAGTACAGACAATGACAGAAGTTTAGAGGCCAAGTGCTCCATTCTGCTTGGGTTTGTGGAGGACTGGTTAAGAGAGGCATTTGAGGGAGATGATGATGTGGCCTAAGATTTTGAAGTATGAATAGGAGATTTCCAGGAGGAACAATTGAGTCAGAGAGATCAGAATGTGAAAATGCACAGACGTGTGAAACGATACGTTTGCAAGACTAGAAACTGTTGTTCACTATTGCTGGAGGAACAAGCTCTGGTGGCACAATGATAAAGGGCTCCGCTCAGCTGCTAACAAAAAGATTGGCTGTTTGAAACCACCTACGGGCTCCCCAGGAGGAAGACCTATATATAGATCTACTCCTGTAAAGATTACAGCCTAGAAACACGGCAGTTCTCTTGTCACATGGAAGTGGCTATGAGTCGATTTTCTGCACCTAACAACAACAGTATTGCTGGAGAGGAGTGATTAGAAATGAGTCTAGGGAAGTGTACAAGGTCGTTTCATTAAGGATATCGTAGACTAGGCACTCAGATTACAGTGGCCAAAACAATGGATTCAAGCATACCGACAATTATAAAGATGGCGCAGAACCAGGCACCATTTTGTTCTTTTGTATGTGGGGTCATCGTGAGTTGGCGCTGACTCGACAGGAACTAACAGCAGACCAGTGCTTCTCAAACTATGGCAAAGGACCAGTTTTGTTTGTTGCTTTCCTTTTTTTAAATTTTCAAGCTATTGTCTACTACTGTTATAAAATACACTAAAGTGAATTTTAGAGAAACGAAAGAAAAGCCCTATCCTTGTTAGTTTCAATAAATATAAAATTACACTGTCAAATTGCTGTAAAAGTTTTTAAACAGTTACACTTAATTTCAAAATTGTTCATTAGCCTATCGGTAACAAAGTTTGAATGGCATTGTTACAGTTGTTTCATTACATCTATGTTTTAGATCATACTAAGGACCCTGGACTTCATCTTGTGGAAATAATGTGGAGCCATGAAGAGTTTGTAACATGGGAGTGATATGATCTGCATTTAGGAGCACCGTGGAAGAAAGATTGTATGTCTGCAAAACCAGCAGGGGAGCCAGCTTGGCAGGCACTGAAGTAGTTCAAGGGAGAGATGGCAAGGTGCTTGACCAAGTCACTGGCAGCAGGGATGGAAAAGAGAGGACAGATGCAAAAGATACCAGAAGGTAAGATTAATAGGACTTGGTGATTGGTTGACTATTAGGGTATTGGGAGAGAGGGAGAATTTAGGGGAACTTCCAAGTTTTTAGCTTGGATAACTGAGTAAATGAAATGGAGTGTTCCTTCTCAAAACTTTGGAATTGTCTTTATC